GACATGCTGGGCATTTTTAATTTAATGGAGAAATGATATATTTATATCTTTCCTCCTCAATATTCTTTCTTTAAAACATATTTTTAGTTGTAGATAGACACGATACCTTTATTTTTATTTATTTATTTTTATGTGGTGCTAAGGATCAAACCCAGTGCCTCAAACATGCATGCTAGGCGAGCGCATTACCACTGAGCTACAACCACAGCCTCCTTCCTCATCATTCAGCAATTACCAACTGCACTTTAGTAGAATCCTGGCTTTCACCCAATATTTTTGCTTCAGTACCCCTTTCTAACTTAACTTGAATCATATTTATTTATTTGTTTGTTTTAGAATCGACCCTCCCTGTCCCCACTCTTCAGGAATTGTATGCTACTCTTGAGATTCAGGGCAAACTGGTTTCTTCCAAACATTGTTTCACCTCATTAAACTTAAAAAATAACTTTTTCCTTATATGTTGCTGCACTGATTTTACAAACTGAAACTTCTTACTCCTTCTGTCAACTCCTCCAAATTTCATGATTTTTCTTGAGCCAGGGGAGAGACTGAGAATCCCAGAGAGACAGACATTTTCTTTTTGCATCTAAAGAAAGAGAGAAAACAGGAACTTCCTGAGTAGGAAACTCTGCTGGAGCTAAGGTTATTTATAGAAGTTGGATTTAAATATAATTCTGCCCTCTGGTAACTCTGGTGACTGCTACTTTAAGATTTGGTGCCGCCCTTTATGTAAGAGGGCTTGTTTTGTTTCAGTACATTACAGATGGAATACAAATTAGCAGGCAGCGGACAAGAAGTATGCAAGCTCTGATAAGCAACCCTGGAAGGGAGGGGCCGCATAGTATGTGGAAGCTGTCAATGTAACCTTGGCCTGAGGACCAGGATTTGACAGATTGTACTTCTCGAATATTATATAAAATAATGCAGCCATTGTAGAAAGCCATAGGTCAGCTCTTCAAACAATTAAATATAGAATTATTGGGCTATGGATGTAGTTCAAGTGGTAGGGGTGCTTGTCCAGCATGACCATGGTTTGAATCATAGTTTGATCCTCAGCACTGCAAGGAAAAAAAAAATCATATGATTTGGCAATTCTGCTTCTGGGTATTTATGCGCCAAAGAACAAAAAGGAGAGACTCAGAGATCTGTTGGTTCATAGCACTATTAGTCACAATAGCCAAAGGTGGAAGTAACCCCAGTGGTGGATGAATGGATGAATAAAATGTGATATACATACACAATGGAATATTATTCAGCTTTGAAAAGCAATGAAACTCTGACACATTACAATGTGGTATGAACCTTGAAAACATTATGCCAAGTGAAATAAACCAGATAGCAAAGGAAAATATTGTCTGATTTTACTTACATAAAATATCTAAAATAGTCAAATTCATAAAGACATAAGAGTGGTGGCCACCAGTGTGTGAGGAGAGGGGAAAGCAGGGAGTTAATGTTTCATGGTTGCAGAACTGCAGATGGGGAAAATGAAAAAGTTCTGGAGACAGATGGTGGTTCTGGGGGCACAAAAAAGTGAATGTACTGAATGCCACAGAACTGGACACTTAAAAATAGTAATGATGGCACATTTCATGTTAAATATATTTTACTATAAAAATGTCTAAAAATCTGCTCTTCATCCTTATCTACATTATCTCTCAGTGCATACACTCTAGAGGAAAATTGGTTGATTACTGATTTAGCCAAATCAGCGTCTGAGCCTCATTCTCATCTGAGAAATGGAAGATCTGGTGGAATTTTCATGATTCTAAGAGGCATTGCAGGAGAGGGAAGATGTGGGGAAATAATCCTATGGAAGGTGAAAAATCACAGAACTCTATAAATGAACATTGGCTCCATTACAATTTAGACAGTTACTTTTTATTTTAAAATAATTAAAAATTTTTAGACAGGCATGGTGGCTAATCCCAGCAGCTCAGAGGGCTGAGGCAGGAGGATTTCAAGTTCAAAGCCAGCCTCAGCAACTGTAGTAAGGCCTAAGCAACTTAATAATAAACTGTTTCAAAATAAAAAATAAAAAGGGATTGGGGATATAGCTCAGTGGTTAAGCACTCCTGGGTTCAATCGCTGGTCAAAATAAATATTAAAAATTTAAATGATAAAATATATTTAATATACAGAAAATCCTCAATTATAGCAAATATTTATTTGTCTATCAAAACTTAACATATTTTCATGCTTTATCATACACACTATATATTTTATCTTTTGATCTTGATTATTATCTTTAAATGTCTTTTTAAAATTTTTTAGTTATACACGGACACAATCTCTTTATTTTGTTTATTTATTTTTATGTGGTGCTGAGGATCAAACCCAGTGATTCACATGTGAGAGAAAAGGGCTCTGCCACTGAGTCACAACCCCAGCCCAGATCTTGCTAATTATCTTTGATCCTCACTAGAACAGAGATTTTTAACTCTTTATTTCATGGCTGTATGCCTATAGCCTAGAACATCACCTGTCACAAATGAGAAATTTAATACATTTTTAATACCTTTATTTTATTTATTTATTTTTGAGTGGTGCTGAGGATTGAACCCAGTACTATGTGTGCTAGGCAAACGCTCTACAACTGAGCTACAATCTCAGCTCTCAATACATTTTTTAAATGAATAAATTAATGATTCCTTGAACAATTCTTCTCATATGCAAATGTTAGTTTCTCCTGGGTGGATTCCTACAAATGGGGTTGCTTCTCCTCTGCTAAGTATTGCCAAACTGCCCACCAATTTACATTATCACCACTAATATCTAAGAGTTTGTGTTTCCACAGTTTGATATTATAACACTGCCTTGTTCTTGCCAATTTGATGGGTGTGAATGTTATTTCATTGTTTTGTTGTTTTATTTTGCATCTCCTTGCTTAATAGCGAGGCCTAGCATTTTCCTTTGGATTTTTCTTTGATCTGCTACTCGTATCCTTGCCCATTTTTATACGGAGCTGTTTATCTTTTATAGAGGTGTAAATGCAGGTAGATATAGATAGTTATAGGTTCAGATAAGCAGAGAGTGCTTATACCAATCCATGGTTAGAGTTTTGCAAATTTTTTTTCTGGTCTAGCTTATAGATGGACACAATACCTTTATTTTATTTATTTATTTATTTATTTATTTATTTATTTATTTATTTTTATGTGGTGCTGAGGATCGAAACCAGGGCCTTGCACATGCTAGGTGAGTGCTCTCCTGCTGAGCCATCACCCCGGCCCTAAAAAAAAATTTTTTTTTTTTAAATATTTTTGCAGTACTCAGGATTTAATTCACAGCCTAAGGGCATCCTAGGAAAGAGCTCTGCTTCTAAACTACATCCCCAGGTCTTTTTGTTTTTATTTTGAGACAAGGTCTGGCAAATCAAGCCCAGGCTGGCCCTTGAATTTGTATTCTTCCTGCCTCAGCTTCCCAAGTACCTGGGATTACAGGCAGGCACCACTGCACCTGGCTTGGGACATTTTAAATTTTAATGTTTTAAAATGTATTAATCTTTCCTTTTATGGCATGTACTTTATGTGTCTTAAGAACTCCTTTCCTAACCTGAGTTGATCGAAACATCTTCTTTTAAAATTTTCTTTATGTGTGTGTGTGTGTGTGTGTTTGTACACCAGGGATTGAACTCAGGGGCACTCGACAACTGAACCACATCCCCAGCCCTATTTTTTATTTTATTTAGAGACAGGGTCTCACTGAGTTGCTTAGTGCCTTTCTTTTGCTGAGGGTGGCTTTGAATTCACAATCCTCCTGCCTCAGCCTCCCAAGCCACAGGGATCACAGGCATGTGCCACAGCGCCCAGCTAAAAATTTTTTATCAACTTTTTATTGCAAAAGAACTGCAAATTTACAAAGTGTTACTGGATGTGGTGGCACATACCAATAATCTCAGCAACTCCAGAGGCTGAGGCAGGAGGATTGCAAGTTCAAGGCCAGTTTCAGCAATTTAGAGAGGCCTTAAGCAACTTAGAGATTCATCTATTAACATTTTACTGTATCTGTTTATAAATATATAGCCTATACAACATATTATATATCATATGTAATATTCCTCTGAACTATTTGAGGGTAAGTTACATACATTATGATGGTTTATCCCTAAATTCTTCAGTGTGTATTGTCCAAAAACAGGGATATTCTCTAACATAACTACTGTAGTTATTAACTTCATAAATTTACATTGATAAGTTTTAGGAAATTTCCAATCCATATTCCAATTATATCAGTTGTCTTTTTCTCTTACTACAGTATTTTTATAAGTATAAGTTTAAAGTGTTTCCCTACAGATTGCTTATGAGTTGGAAGGGTGTGGACAGGCAGTGGAGAATGGGGACAACGGAGAAATGGGCCAACACTTTGTCCAGGTGATAAGAATGAATCAATAAGGTACATATGGACATCAACTGCCTATAGACGTTACACTCTGAGAGAGGGACACACACAAAAGAGCTGTAATTATACAATGATTGCTCTTGTCCAACTCATAAGCCAATCTGTAGGGAAACAACCAGACAAATATTCTGCCCTTCCTCAACATTTTCACCTAGTTTTAGCACCCACGGATGATTCTTACCAGACCCAATCTTTGCCAAAATGATCGAAAAAATGAATCACTTAAGAACTTTTGGTTTCACATGGAACTGATTTTGTGTGTGGTGTGAGATAGGGATCTAATTCTACCCCCAACCCCGACCCCTGCCAATATGACTAACACTAATCAACTTCAGGTTGCCTGGAAGCCAGACAGATCCCATACCAAAAGGGTGCAGTAGATGCTCCCATCCTCCACTAGTCAGCGCCTCCTTGACTGATTAAAGGCCCCTAATCAGCTTGGGGAGATTAGGGGCTCTGGCCGGCTGTTCCCACACCCCCACCCTGGGATGGGATGGCAGGGGAGAGAGAAGGGGGATCGACCCTGTGACCCCTCACCCGGGCCCTGGGCCCGAGCCCCGGACTTTCCGGTGAGTGGCAAATGCCCCTAGACACCTACTCCTCAGGACTGAGGGCGTGGGCGTGTCCCCATCGACCCCCGACAGCCCTGATGAGGCGGGAGGGGCAAACAAGTTGGGAATGGAAAGACGGGAAGGCCGGAGAGGGCTTCCAGGACTTGCTCTTGACCCGCATCTAAGTCGTCTGTCTGCAGAAGGGGCTCTGGAAGCAGAGACACCTCACCTGATATTCTGAACTTCTCAAAGCGGGCTTTCAGAAACAGGTTTGCAGGGAAAGCCCTACGAGAGTTTCGGGGGGGTCTCAATTGCTCATCCTGCTCGGTCTGTGCTCACAGAAGCTGGCAATGACTGCGTGCACCCTCCTAACCAGGGGGCTTCCTGACGTCGGGTTCTGCGCCCTTGCGCCGTGCGATGGGTCCCCTCCAAGCCTCCCGCGGGTCCTGCCCTGGCCCGGACCTCTGCTGCTCCGGTTCCTGCTCCTGCTCCTCTTCCCGCCGCCCTCTGCCCTCTCCTCGGTGTTCAAAGTGGGGGTCCTGGGCCCCTGGGATTGCGACCCCATCTTTGCCAGTGCCCGCCCGGACCTGGCCGCGGCTCTGGCAGCCGCCCGCCTGAACCATGACCTTGCTCGGGAAGGCGGCCCTCGTTTAGAGGTCGCGCTGCTGCCCGAGCCATGCCGGACGCCGGGCTCCCTGGGGGCTGTGTCCTCCGCGCTAAGCCGCGTCTCCGGCCTGGTGGGACCGGTGAACCCTGCAGCCTGCCGGCCCGCGGAACTACTAGCGCAAGAGGCTGGGGTAGCGCTGGTGCCCTGGGGTTGCCCTGGGTCGCAGGCAGCGGGCACCACTGCCCCTGCCGTGACTCCCGCGGCGGATGCTCTCTACGTTCTCCTTCGAGCTTTCCGCTGGGCGTGCGTGGCCCTGGTGACAGCCCCTCAGGACCTATGGGTGGAGGCTGGACGCTCTCTGTCCAGTGCACTCAGGGCCCGGGGCCTGCCGGTCACGCTGGTGACCTCCATTGAGCCCTCCGACCTGTCTGGAGCCCGGGAGGCCCTGAAGAGGGTCCGGGACGGGCCCAGGGTCAGAGGTAGGTTCTCCAGCGGGGTACGGGGAGATGGCGGGTCCTGCCTGCAGCTGGGCACCTCAGGGAGTCAAACCTGTCCGCAGTGGTGATCATGGTGATGCACTCGGTGCTACTGGGTGGAGAGGAGCAGCGCTATCTACTGGAAGCCGCAGAGGAGCTGGGCCTGGCTGATGGCTCCCTGGTCTTCCTGCCCTTCGACACACTCCACTATGCCTTGTCACCGGGCCCGGAAGCCTTGGCCCCACTGGCCAACAGCTCCCAGCTTCGCAGGGCCCACGATGCTGTGCTCACCCTCACCCGCCACTGTCCTCCGGAAGGCAGTGTGCTGGACAGCCTGCGGAGAGCCCAAGAGCACCGGGAGTTGCCCTCTGACCTCAATCTGCAGCAGGTAGATGGGCCAAGGAAGAAGGGAGGAGAGTGACGGAAGGGGGCAGGAAAAGAGTCAAAGTGAGGAAAGGAGGATGGAGCCAATGGGGAGAGAACAGGTGCTTTAGGTATTCTGGAATTTCCTAGGTACTGTAGATAGATCCTTTGGTCTTGTTTGGGATCTTGTTATATGGGGAATTATTTTCCAGAGTATAGGCAATGAGACCTCTCAAGCCCAGCTCCAAGGAGTAAACTCTAAAGCACAAAATCATTTCCAGTGTGCTTCAAAGTAAACCCATTTCCACCACTACCTTAATATACAAAACACAATAAACGGTTGGTGTTCAACTTTTCATGCCCACATGGGAGGTATTTCCTCTAGGACCTCATCTGATAGTCTTAACTTTTTGAGGGCCTTGGCATCTTGCAAGAGCAGAAAGATCCCCAGGTGGAGCCAAGGGCTCCCATATTCAGATCCAAAGTTTATTCTCAACATCCAGCTCATATTCAGGATTCTGAGTTCCCAGAATTCCAGTTCAGACCATCTAGATCCACCCCAATTACAAAGGGAGGTTTAGAAACTATTGAGATAAAAGGGAATTTAGATATCAATTGCAGGAAATCAACCACCACCAAGACCCTACTTGAAAGGGACTACATCAGAGAGGATTGTGGGTCAAGGGGAATTGAAATAGTCCCCACAAATGTCCCCAGTCTTTCCCAAGAGGATTTGGAGTAGCCAATGGATAGAGAGGATGAGAATAATTGATGAGAGAATAAGAGTGGGATGGGATGGAGGGAGGATCAGTCAACAAAGAGGGGCAAAGAAAGTGAAGGGAAACTCTTCAGTTCTCAGTGAGTAGCATAACCTTCCACCAGCTGCTCAAGCCAGATGCAAGGAAGTCTCCCTGATTCCTCTCACTTTGTCACCCCACATCTAGACATGAAGTTAGTTCTATTATATCCTAAAGGTCATTTAAATCCATTCACTTTCTCCATCCTCTTTATCATTGCTCTGGTTCAAGCCATAGCACCTCTGGCCCAAATCTTACAACATAATCTTTCTAAATGGTCTCTGCTTCAACTCTCACCTAGCTCAGGCCTTTTCTTTCCACCCAACAACCAGATCAAGCTTTAGAAATCTGGAAAATTCTAGCATGTCACAGTGGCTTCTGGGTAACCTTCCTCCAGCCTGGGTTGGGGACACTTTTCCTATATAGATGCAGGTTGCTTCACAAGGTTTATCAGAACTTGTGTTTTCCCTTCTCTTCTGTCTTCTGTGAACTTCAACCCTGCTGAATTACTTTGGATTCTTTTTTTCTTCTGAGCTGCTGTGATTTCCTCTCTTTTACCCATCCCTCCCCTGGATGATTATGATTCATCCCCTGAGGGATGACCACTACGCCTCCTGCTCTACCTCACCACATGAGTTGGAGACCCTCATTCTTATCCAGGAAGCTTTCTCGGTTTCTCCTGCCTCTACTCACTGCATTGCTTTCACAACCATGTCTCTTTTCCTAACTAGATGAAATTTCCCTCTGGGCAGGGATGGTCTCATATACCAGTGTATCTCTAGGGCTTTACACAGTGTCTGGCACTCTGAGAGATGGTAACTGCCAATAGGAGAGTGGCCTGATGAGATCAGGAGGTAACCTTAAGGGGAAGCAAGGGGGAAAATAGGAAATAGAAGCCAAACAAAGGATGGGAAAGAAGGCTTTTGTGTGAATGGTAGGTGGTGAGATTAAAACTATATGCAGGGCAACCAACTGAAAGAAAAGGACAGAACTAGAGAGGATGGAGAGTTACAAACAACCAAAAATGAGAGAAGAACCCAAGCCCTGAAAAGAGGAACAGTCGGTAGGGAAGACCAAGTGGGATAGCCAATGGGGAGAGAGGAAGAGAGAGCCTCAGGGGAACCACTAATTAGGAGATGGGAACTGGTCAGTAGGCGCAGGGCTCCAAGGGCCCAATGAGAGAATAGGCGGGGCTGGTGAATTCCCATCTATCTGTGGGCTGTGGCTTCCAGACCTGAGTCCCTGCTTTCCTTCTCCAGGTCTCCCCCTTGTTTGGCACCATATACGACGCGGTCTTCTTGTTGGCAAGGGGCATGGCGGGAGCGCGGGCAGCCGCCGGTGGGGGCTGGGTGTCTGGAGCAGCCGTAGCCAGGCACGTCGGGAATGCCCCAGTCCCAGGGTTCTGTGGGACTCTAGGAGAAACCGAGGAGCCCTCCTACGTACTTCTGGACACGGACGCCTCTGGAAACCGACTGTTCACCACCTATGTGCTGGACCCTGTCCGCGGCTCCCTGCGCTCTGCAGGGATCCCAGTGCACTTCCCTCGTGGCGGCCCCGCTCCAGGGCCAGATCCCTCGTGCTGGTTTGAGCCAAACGTCGTCTGCAGTGGAGGTGAGGGCGAGCATCCCAGCCCCCACTGGGACAGTCAGTATAGCCTATCCACAAAATTGTGAAAGAGAGTGAACTCCTGCCCTGCAGGATTTTTTTTTTATTTTAATTTTTGTTGTTGTTGTTGTTGAAAATGGACATGATGCTTTTATTTATTGTATTTATTTTTATGTAGTGCTGAGGATCCAACCCAGTGCCTCACACATGCTGGGCAATCACTGTATCACTGAGCCCCAACCCTGCCCTTCAGTTCTTTCAGGCCCTTACTGACCCTTCCAGGCCCTCCCTGACCCTTCCAGGCCCTCCTCCAAGCCCGGACTTGCTCAGGATCCCTTTGCTCAAGCCCTGATTTATTTAGTCTGAAAGCCCTCTGAGAGATTTTCTAGCATTTCCAGACTTGGAGGAATCTGTGACTTTCCTTAGAGGCTGTTCCAGCTACTATCCCCATTTCCTGGAACTCCAGGATTTGAAAGGGAACCTCTTCTTACCAAGGTCCTGAGTGTCCATCCTTTCATTGTCCCTTTAGGAGTGGAGCCAGCCCTGGTCTTTCTAGGCTTCCTGCTGGTGGTAGGAATGGGGCTTGCAGGGATCTTCCTGGCCCACTGTGTGAGGTGAGTAGGGGAGTGAGGTAAGTACGATGTGATCATGGCTCTCCACTGCCAGGGATGAAATTTTGCAGCAAAGACAGCAGCTACTCAAGAGTAGAAGAGGGGAGGATTTTTCCTGGGGCGGGAGGATAGGGATCTTGAAGGGCTGGCAGAGTCCCAAGGAAATGTCTGGTTTGGGGATGGCCGCCCTCCAGTATACCTCCCCTGAACTCACATCATCCCTTCATCCCAATTCCTACTGGCCTATTCAGATGAAACTGGCCCTCTTTGCCAGTATGATCTCTTTCCATTACCAGGCACCGGCTCCTTCATATCCAAATGGTTTCTGGCCCCAACAAGATCATCCTGTCTCTGGAGGACATCACCTTCCTCCATCCACATGGGGGTAGCTCTCGAAAGGTCAGGAAAGCAGGGAGCCAGGAACCAGCTGTCTTCTCCCTATACATTTGGTCCCTTCCCTGAGCCAGCCCTCATCACAGCCACTCCCAGACCCCAGGAAGAAAGCCTGATTTTTGCCCCAGCTGTGTCTGAGGTCTGAGCTCTGGAGATCAGCAACCTCATCTGTGCCATAGGAGTGACAGCCTCTGTCCTCACTATTTTCCTGGGGTGGTGTGAAGGTGCAACAAGAAAATGAATATATTTGTTTTGTAAAGTGTTGTGCACTTCGGAAGTACTATCATTATCATCTTCCCTCATTGAAAGTTCTTCCCTTCCCCTGTTTAATTCACAAAACTCAGCCTAACCTCAATCCAAGGGTTTAAAATATACTCTGGGGTCAGAGTATATTGACTTTTTCTTTGCACCTCTGCCTCCCAGATGATCCAGGGGAGTCGATCCAGTCTGGCTGCCTTCAGCACGGCAGACATTCGAAGCATCCGCAGCCAGCCCTCAGACAGCACAAACATTGGCCTCTATGAGGTGAGCCTGAGCCAGAATGAGCTGTACTCCAGAAGGGGAAGTGAGAAAAGGTGCTCAGGCCTGGGAAGAGAGTAGGCATATTCTCAAGGGAGGCATGCAGTCATGTCAAATCCTGCAGACTCCAGGCAGCGGGAGGCCAAGTGGGACCTGGGGAGAGGTCATGGATTCCTCAATCCTGACCTGATTCTGCATCTGGGAATCTTCTCTGCTACAGGACTTTCCCTTAGCCATGATCGAAGTGAGGACTCCTCAAAGGCCAGACACAGTGACCACAGGCTGGAGCTGCTGAGCAGTGTGCTGAGACTAGCATGCAGGCTGGTGTGGCCACTGAGGCCCGGGAGCCCCTGGCCCTGCCCCCTCATAATTCCCATCCAATTCAGATCAGACTCAGAAACAGCAAGCCCTAGAGTAGAGTAAGAATGTCACAAAAGGATATTAGGACACTGTGGGGCCAGGAAATCTGAATATGATGGGCTGGATGGGAGATACTGAGAAAAGATTCAGAGGGAGCCTAGAAAGAGCTCAACTAATCAGAAAGAGAGTAGAAATTTAGAGCACCCAAGCTCCAGGTCATGGAGAGAATGCAGAAGTTCCTACTATGTCACCTAGAGACCATCATGATCATTTCTCAGAGAAGGCACTACTGCCATTTTGGACAGGTTGTTCTTTGTTGCATAGGATGACCTTGTCCCTTGAAGAATATTTAGTTTCTCTTGTCTCTGGCCCTATCCACTAAATGCAGTTTTGTGACAATTAAAAATGTCTTCACATTTATTTCCAAGTGCTCTGTAAGGATCAATGCCAAACTCTCACAACTCCCTTCTAGTTCAAATTCCTTTCCAAAGGTCAGGGAAACTTATATAATTTGCACAATGCAGGATAAAATAAGTATGAGAGACCCTTCACTCATTTGAGATGATAGCAGCAGATCATTGACTCAAGCTTGGACCCTCTGAGCAGCCACAGGAATTACATGCTAGGAACCGGGCCTGCCAATAGTTGAGGACAAGGAGGCTCCCCACCACTCCCATCTAGTTTACATTAAAGCCTCATCTACCCAGATGCCTGACTCAAAGCATGGTGCTCTGTCATGGCAAGGGATGGTGATGTCAGTGACATTGTGGTTGTAACAGTTCACTTAATGGGTGCATCTGGGGGTGGGGAAGACAACTGTATAGGTCTTTTGCCTCTCTCTCACCTAGGGGTGGGTTTTCATCTAGCTGGCTGAGAAGCAGATAGGCAGATGTCAAACTCCTGCTTCTGATGCTGTCCCATAGCAGATGTGTTCTGGGACAGTGGGCAATGGAAATGTGGGCAATGGAAATGTATCATGAGGCTTTAGGAAACTAAGTTCCCTAACCTCATCCTTTCTTCTGCAGGGAGATTGGGTTTGGCTAAAGAAATTCCCAGGGGATCATCATGTAGCCATCCGCCCAGCAACTAAGACAGCCTTCTCCAAGGTAAGAGGTGATCCTATGATTGGTGCAGGGTGGTCATCAGTCCCTCCTTTCTTGCCTTCTCTTTACAGCAGCATACAGTAGTAGGTTTCAGTTAAGTGTTCCTTCCACTCTAGAGCAGATTTCTCACTATTCTGTCTCATGGCACTAGTTCTTTGATAATCTTATCACAACTTAGATGTGATAAATTACACATTAATTTATACATAAGTTATATGTTCACCTATAGGCTGACTTATTGCTGCCTCCTTCACAGACTGCAACTTAGTGAGAGTTTCCCTGTGCCCCTCCATTGTATACCCAGCATCCAACACAGGATCTGGAATATTACTGAGACCCAGTGAATATTTGCTGAAAGAATGATAGAAAATGAATTTTCACTTCTGTCAGGCCACATATGCCAAATGGCCCTAGTTGTATTGATATGTGCCTAATAGAGTGGAAAGTTGGCAAGGAGATAATAGACTGGCTGATTCTAATCTTTTCAACCTTAATGTTCCTCTTCCCCCCAATGCCATGAAATCTTTGGCTGGCTTACTTTCCTGAGGCCTCCCAGGTGTTCATGGTCACAGCTGTGGAATGATTTAAATGGACAGACTATTGGTCAGTACACTAAGTCACCATTTAACACCAGGTGTTTAAAATGAAATCCAAGAAAATCTAGAAAGGGCACTCTTCAGCCTTTAGCTCCCACTTTTCCAGTGTCTGAGTGCTCTCTGTCCTGCCAAGTAGGTATAACCTTTTGATGCTTCCTCTGGGACCATTACTTGGCTGCATAGTCCTGTCCTACCTAACTTGGGGAGTGTGGCATCTCAGAAGCATCTGAAACACTGATGCAACACCAAATAGAGCAGCCCCAGGTCAGGCTAAAGGCACAAGCTATTTCTGATGTGTTCAGAAAGCCCTAGTGCCTCTCCACAGAGATTGTTACATTCAGAAGGAGATGGTGGTGATGGCAGGGCTTCTCCCTCATGTAGTGTTTTCCCTTAAGATGGAGGCAGTTCAGCCAGATGTGTGTGGTGCACACCTGTAATCTCAGTAATTTAGTAGGCTGAGGCAGGAGGATTACAAGTCTGAGGCCAGCCTCAGCAACTTAGTGAGATCTTGACTTAAAAAAAAAAAAAAAGACTGAAGCCATTCAATTGGATGCAGTGGTGGTGCAGGCCTATAATCCCAGTTATGCAGGAAGCCAAAGCAGAAGAATCTCAAGTTATACTTCAGTCTTGGACAATGTAGGGAGACCTTGTTGTGAGATAAAAATAAGGGCAGGGGATGTAGTCCAATGTGCTAGGCTTTGGGTTCAGTCCCCAAACTGAAAGAAAGGAGGAGGAGGAAATGGTAGAGAGGAAGAAGAGGAAAAGAAAAAGAGGAGAAAGAAAAAGAAGAAAGAAGGACAGTGAAGGGTGGAGAAGGAGAAGCAGGGGAAGGGAGGGGAGGGGAGGGAGGGTACAGTCAGGGGAGGAGAAGGAGAAGAGGAAGGTTGAGGAAGAGAAGGAGGAGGAGAGGGGAGGAAAAAGGGAAAAAAGAAGGAAGAAGAAGGAAGAGGAGAAGGAACAACTCTGGGGCAGTTCAAAGATTGATGTTTAATAAATCAGAACCTTTCTGGGTCCTTATCACCAATGCATGGTTGTCTTTTCACTCATAACTTTAAGTTCAGCCATATTCAGTATCTGAGCACTGTGGCTTTTGACAATTTTGGTTTTCATAAAATCAACAGAAGAACCCCAAAACACACATCAAAACATCAAAACACACACGCACACACACATATTATATATGTCTTAGATTATTTCATTCATCACTCTTATCCCATCTTCCTAGTTTAGATACTTAAAAACAGACATTGAATAAAGGCCCACTACCCACATTGCTACCAGGGCAGAAAATGCCTGTCAACCTTTCTCCTCTCAGCTCAGAGAGCTCCGGCATGAGAACGTGGCCCTGTACCTAGGGCTCTTCCTGGCGGGAGCCGCAGACTGCCCTGCAGCCCCAGGGGAGGGCGTCCTGGCCGTGGTCTCAGAGCACTGTACCCGGGGCTCCCTCCACGACCTCCTCGCCCAGAGAGAAATAAAGCTGGACTGGATGTTCAAGTCCTCCCTCCTGCTGGACCTCATCAAAGTGAGGGGGAGGTTGGTAGGGGGGAGGTCGTAGTAGGGCGTGTCCTGGGGGCAAGGTAGAATGGGAGCAGAGAAACCGCTCTGGCTGAGGCTGCCTCTTACCCCGCCTCCTCCAAGGGAATGAGGTACCTGCACCACCGCGGCGTGGCTCACGGGCGGCTTAAGTCGCGGAACTGCGTGGTAGACGGGAGGTTTGTGCTCAAGATCACCGACCACGGCCACGGGAAACTGCTGGAGGCTCAGAGGGTGTTACCGCAGCCTCCCACGGCCGAGGGTAGGAGTCCCCCGCGTTCTACCGCGCACGGGACTAACGCCCCAGGAGTCACATAATTTCAAGGTCCCCTGCTCCCTTCCTCGCACTCTCCCCATTCCTTATCCATTGGACGCGACTGCTACGGAAAAGGTCAGGTGACCTCTAAGATTCGGAAGATGGAATCTGTCTGGGGAGTGGGGCTGGCCAGGGGGGGTGGGATTGTGCTTGAGCTCTTGACAGTGCATCCGGGTCTGCTGTAAGAGGGCCTTTGTCTGAGGGCGGGAGCCTGTGCCCAGGAGATCGAGTCTTTCCCGGGCACCGCCTTGTTTGAGGGGCGGGGCTTATTGTGAGGGCAGGACTTCTGAGACAGTTTAGTTTCAGGTAATCTTTCCTGGGGTTGGTTGCAGGGCTGCGGGGCTTGATTGTGAGTTTGGGAGTTGGTTTTTTTTTTTTTTTTTTTGGCAGGGATGAGAGTCTGTCCTCAGCTCCCCACAGCTCTCCACGTGACCATGTGTCCTTCCCCATCCCAGATCAATTATGGACAGCCCCAGAGCTGCTTCGGGACCCAGCCCTGGAGCGCCGGGGAACTATGGCGGGTGACGTCTTCAGTCTGGGTATCATCATGCAGGAGGTCGTGTGCCGCAGTCCCCCCTATGCCATGCTGGAGTTGACAGCAGAGGGTAAGGCGAATTGGGGCCAGAAAGGCATCTTACAATTAGAACAGGGCCATCCCAGACCCAGCCTTGCTTTTTTCTCTAAAGCAAAGCCTGGTGATAAGACTTAATTATGTGGGTGCGCCCTTAAAGCTGGAGTCTGAAGGGCCAGGGCAGTAGAAAGCCAAGCATCAGGATGGAGCGTGGGTGGGTGGGTTGCTTTACAGGGCCCAGACCTCAGAAGTTTCTTCTGTCCTGATGCTGGACCCAACCTGTTCCCCCATGTGACACAGCAGGCTCCTCTGTATTTCTCAAAGGTCCCAGGGAGGCTGCAGGGAGCTGGGATAAAAACACAGTCCCATTTGATTCAAATCCATATCATCATATATGGGACACTGAGCAAACTACTTCATTACCTTCTCATTTTTCTTACATGCAATAAATGTTAGTTTCTTTGTCTGTGTCACATCTTACTGATCCCAGGGTTCAGGGTCCTCTTGTTACTCCTAGAGACCCCCTTACACACTAAACTCCCTCTCCCATTGAAGCTCTGGTTTAAAGGATCCTATCTTGGGCTTCATCAGTCAGGCCAGGGTCAGAGGTATCCTCTCTCCTGGAATGCTTACCCCTCACTGTCTCCTCATGCTTCCAGAGGTGGTGCAGAGGGTGCAGAGCCCCCCTCCGCTGTGTCGGCCCTCGGTATCCATGGACCAGGCACCTGTGGAGTGCATCCATCTGATGACACAGTGCTGGGCAGAACAGCCAGAACTGAGGCCCTCCATGGACCGCACCTTCGACCTGGTTAGGGCTGGGATTGGGTGAGGGCTGGGCGGGTCCCTGGGAACCCCAGATTCTTGTAACCTAGGAAGGTCACAGGCAGGGAGGCGGGCAGGAAGGATCTTTAACCTTCAAGGTGACCTCCTAAGGGGTAGCCTGAGAACTGGAGCATGGGGGTGAGCTAGAATGGGGGCTGTAAGGCCTTTGAAGTGGGAAACAGAGCTCTGAGAGAAATATTTAATTCAATTCAAATAACATTAATTAAAAACCAAATATTTGTTTGGCTTACCTTGACAAAAAGAACCTTAGTCTGGGAATCCAAAGGCTGAGCTGCTCCAGTGCCTGTCAATTCCTGAGAATGACTACATTTGGGAACCCTCATTTCCCACATGCCTCCTAATAATGTCTGAATACACAGTGCCCAGCACTCCAGGACTGCTTCATGAATAGAAGATGAATGGTGGTTAAGGGGATGGGGAATATCGTCCCATAAAAGGTCCATGAGAAGGGCATGGTGGTCCAGATCTTCAGCAGCTTTGCCTGCTTCCTATTGTTATAGTTCAAGAGCATCAACAAGGGACGGAAGACAAACATCATCGATTCAATGCTTCGGATGCTGGAGCAGTACTCCAGTAACCTGGAGGACCTGATCCGGGAACGCACGGAGGAGCTGGAGCTGGAAAAGCAGAAGACAGACCGGCTGCTCACGCAGATGCTACCTCCGTGGGTGCCAATATGGCGAGGAGTGGGGTGGAGAGGGCAGCTGGAGCCCAGCCAGACTGGGACTGCCTCCAGGTGACCCCACTGCCTGCCATGCCTAGATCTGTGGCTGAGGCCCTGAAGAAGGGGACACCTGTGGAGCCAGAGTACTTTGAGGAGGTGACACTGTACTTCAGTGACATTGTGGGATTCACCACCATCTCAGCCATGAGTGAGCCCATTGAGGTGGTGGACCTGCTCAACGACCTCTACACACTCTTTGATGCCATAATCGGTTCCCACGATGTCTATAAGGTGGAGTGTGCCAGGGATAAGACGTCCTGACCTTCTGTTCAACTCTGTCAATCCCAGCCCATCTGCCCCAGGCCACTAGCCCAGTACTCTTTCCCAGCCCTGTTGTACCTCCCCAATCTCTTCCTCCAGCTCAGTCTCCAATTTGCAGCCTGGCTTTGCAAGATGTCTACACTAACCCCAGTTTCAGCCTTTTGATATTGATATTGACTTTATGTATGGGGGGTGGGACACTCAGTACTGAACTGGTACAACTCCTTCTCCCAGGTGGAGACAATTGGGGATGCCTATATGGTGGCCTCGGGGCTGCCCCAGAGGAATGGGCAGCGGCATGCGGCAGAGATTTCCAACATGTCGCTGGACATCCTCAGTGCGGTGGGCTCTTTTCGAATGCGCCATATGCCCGATGTGCCAGTACGCATACGCATCGGCCTGCATTCAGGTAACTCTTGGCCAGTCTTCTCTGGGGATTTGTTCCAAATTCCTTCTACAGGAGGCAGACTTCGATGGGGCTGGGGGTGGGGGCTTGCCTTGAAAAGGATACCTTTGAGAGTGTTTATTTGGAGAGCTGGTAGAAAGTATGGGGTGCTAAGGTCCCCCCAAGGCCCTAGGTGCCGGGCACTTCTAGCTGCCGGGAGCTGCCAGTTTCAGCCCAAGTCCTTGCTGCCCGCCAACTTGAGCATCTTCGCAGGCCCGTGCGTGGCGGGCGTGGTGGGTCTCACCATGCCGCGGTACTGCCTCTTTGGGGACACCGTCAACACTGCCTCGCGCATGGAGTCCACCGGGCTGCGTGAGTGTGACAGAGGAGGGAGGAGCTGGGGGGGGGAGGGAGGAGCTGGGGGGGGGGAGGAGCTGGGGGGGAGGAGCTGGGGGGGAGGGCGGGGCCAGAGAGGGAAACAGCTTGAGAGGTCAGGTGAGGTGAATTCCGAGCTCACGAAGTCCCCACTGTCCCAGCTTACCGCATCCACGTGAACATGAGCACGGTGCGGATTCTCCGCTCTCTGAACCAGGGCTTCCAGATGGAGCTGCGAGGCCGTACTGAGCTGAAGGTGAGGCCTGGCCCCGCCCCCTTCTGGAGAGGGACTCTTAGGGACCCAGGGTCTCTAAGCTCCACTTAGACCTGGAGATTCTCAGTCGCTCACATCAGTCCGCCTAAGTTTCCCCCCTCTCGTGTCTTCTTTCCAGGGCAAGGGCGCTGAGGACACGTACTGGCTGGTGGGCAAAATCGGCTTTAACAAGCCTATCCCCAAACCTCCGGACCTGCAACCGGGGTGAGGGTTTGGCATGCTCTGGCAGGGGAGACGGGCGCGGGCAGGGTAGGGCCCCTTCACGCATTCTCCCTGCCTCTGGCTCTGTGTCAGACCCCAGCGAGAAGCTACGATGACCAAGACCCTGCCCCCCCCCCCTCATCTGAATTCCCCTTCCCTGATAATTGCCATCCTTCGACACAGGGCCAGCAACCATGGCATCAGCCTGCAGGAGATACCCGCTGAGCGGCGCCAGAAGCTGGAGAAGGCGAGGCCTGGCCAGTTCTCCTAGAAGTGAGGCCTTGCCAGGACAGGTGCAAGCTCTTCCCTCAGTCTCCAGGACCACACACTTATGTGAGATACTTCCTAGGAGACAGGTGCCTCTTTGCTAGCCTAAAGGTCTAGCACCGTCTGAAGAAAGTCCCACCTAAGCCAGGTGTCCTAATCCATCTCTGATTTAGTAAGCCCAGGCTGGTTCCTTGGATTTACCCTGGGAGGAAAGCATTTGCTACAGGGATACTGGTTCAGTAGGTCTGCACTAGTCCAGGAATCCAGGTTTAGGGAATACTGTAATTGTGACCATGTGTCACTTCTCTGACCCTACCCTTCACAAACAGCACATACCAGGCCTCCCTAGGACACTTGGCCATGTATTGCACAAGAGACAGAACTCTAGGGGGCAACATTGGCCAGAGGACAGTGTGAAAGTTATCCCTGGAGTTCTGTTAAAGCAGAGACCTGCTCACTGCCCTCCTTGGAAAACTTCTGACCATGACGGTCCCCTTCCTAGGTGAGTCCCCATGACCCTTTTTCTCCCTCTGAGACATTCATCTTTCCCTCAGGATTATTCTGGAAGATGTTTTTCCTGGAAGTTGCTGCTATAGGTGACCTAAAGTCTGACTAAGAACTGGCTTCTGTCCAGCTCTGCCTCCAAGGATTCTGAGCCTTTACAAGAGCCAGCTGCAAACCAGCCTTGGAAAAGTCTCATGCACTCTCCAAGCTCGGATTCCACCCAATGGTGGAATGAAGGGAGGCCTAAGTGATTTTCAGCACCCCCGTGGCCCTGATAGTTGGGCTTTAGAATGGCTGGCCTTGGGATATTGGACACTGTGGCATGTGGCCCCCAGCCCAAATGATCCTGAGCCCATCAGGAGATTATGGGTGGGGCATTCCCCATTTTCCAGAGCCCCTCTAGGCTCCAGGAAGGAGGATCCATAGTTGGATGCCCTGGAGTGGAGGCATTGTGTGTTGTGTCCAGGCTTGGGTTGTTGTGTGGTGTGGGGAGGTCATGGCTTCTGTTTAGCCTCAAGCCTCATTTTCATTTTCATTGCTCCCTTTTCAGAAACTGGTTCCTTATCCAGTGGGCAAAACCAAGTCACTTACCCAAGTGCAGAGGAACGTTTACTTCAATGCTTTGGGGAAAGAAAATTAAACTGCACCAAACTTTTACTAACCAGAAAACCTGAGGAATAGTCATATTCTCTGTTTTTTTGTTTTGTTTTGTTTTGTTTTGTATCAGGGATTGAACCCAGGGGCATTTAACCAGTGAGCCTCATCCCCAGCCCCTTCTTTTTTATTCTTTGAGATAGGGTCTCACTAAGTTTGCTTAGGGCCTCCCTAAGTTGCTGAGGTTGGCTTTGAACTTGCCTCAGCCTCCCCAGGTGCTACAATTACAGGCCTGCACCACCATCATATTCTGTTTAACTGGGTGCTACTGAAAAGCCAGTTGGACAGAAAATTCCTTCTGCTTAGATCTTCGTTACAAATGTCAATGCTCAGTCTTGGCAAGTCCCTAGCTGAAATTTCCTCTGGTGTTCCAGAGCCTAGGCTTTGGCATGTTTGACTCTTGGTGTCATTTGCTGTTGCCACACACCCTGGAAGAAATTAGCAGCAGCTGCAACCACCCATAGGTAGACAGCATGCATCCCTTGGAGGTGTGCAATCAGAACAGGAGATGTTAGTAAACAAGGATGTGGCAGTCAGAGGGAATTCCTAGGTGGAAAGATGAACCAAGTCCTTACTGGGAAAATATTGGCTGGTGGGCCAGCAGCATCAGCATCACCTGGGAGTTTGTTAAAATGTAGAAATTTTGGTCCCAAATCTACTGAATCAGAATCTGCATTTTAATAAGATCCCTCAAAATATTTTAGGCACACTAAAATTTATGAAGCATAACAGCAGTCAATGATTGTAGGATTCCTTAACTCGTAGAATCTTCAAGATTTCATTAAAAATGAGGCTAGAAACGAGCTAGTAGAATTGCTTTGACTGACTTATGGGGTATTTTTGTTTTGAGTTAACACTTAAAAATCAAATTTAAATCACTTTGTTGGGGATGGGGATCCTGCTACCTTACTCATTCTGGCCTCAAACTCAAGGTCCTTCTGTCTCAGTCTTCCCAGTATCTGGGATTCCAGGTATAGGACACTGTGCCCAGCTATACCAAATCAGTATTTTAAAAATATAAAGCCAGATGTGGTGGTGCATGTCTGTAATCCGGTGACTTGGGAGGCTGAGGCAGAGGATCACCAGTTCAAGGCCAACCTCAGCAGTGCAACTTAGATGCTGTCTCAAAAATAAATAAATAAGGTCTAGAGGTGTAGCTCAATAGGAGAGTGTCCCTGGGTTAAAATACCCAGTACAAAAAAACAAACAAAAAAAGTATACAGTCATTCTTTGATATCCACAGGGGATTGGTTCCACGACTCCCATTACCAAAATCCTCGGATGCTCAAATCCCTTACATAATATGATATAGTATTTTCATAGAACCTATGAATATTCTGTATACTTTAAGTCATCTCTAGATTACTTATAATATTCAATACAATGTAAATGCTCTGTAAATACTTGATTTACTGTATTGTTTAAGAAATAAACAAGACAAGAAAAAGTCTGTCCATGGTCAGTACAGATGCAACCATTATAGGCCTAACTACATAGTCCAAGATCCACCAGGGGTTGAATCTGTGACTGCAGCATCCAAGGATATGCAGGACCAACTATAACAGAGTTCCCTCTTCTGAAATCAGAATCAGCAGGTGGGGCTTGCCTCACCCCTAGCAACATTCTGCAGGAGCTAAGGAGCAACAATAGGTTTAATCCAGGGCTTCACACTTCAGTTCTCACAGTCCCTACAGCCTCCAAAACATCAAGATTTTTGGAACATTTCCTACATCTGGCACCTGTAGACCTTGAGTTAGGACTCCAGGAGCAGTAGATGTTAGAATGACAGATGCTCTTGAAGGTTGCTTTGCCTTTTTTTTTTTTTTTTTTTAATTGATGGTTGGGGGGATTCCTTTTCTTTCCTAAAGATAACAAAAGAATTTATCAGAAATAGTAAATCCAGCATTTATAAGTTCTGGTTACCTAAGCTGGTGACACTTATAGTGAATAATTTAGTGAAATTAAAAAAACATTTTCAACTACATTCAAAGATGATGGATTAAAGATTAAAACAAGAAAAACCTAACATGCACACATACACATTTTTTTAAATTATTTACATTGTTAAGTGTCTCCCTTAAGATTTTCTCTGAACTTAGGTCCCAGAATTAGAGGGCAGATTCCTGACAGTGTGGACCTGATAGTGTGGCTGTAGCTCTCAGTCTTCTGCTCTTTCCTTCCTCCCCCACTTCCTCTTCCTCTATCCCTCCTTTCTGTTCTGCTAGGGCCTAGGGTGGTTAATGGTGTATGATTCAGAAAGCCTCAAGAAAGTCATCCAGGGTTAGGTGCTGGAAGATTGGCTTGGGCAGGCCTGTGCAGGGCACCCAAGAAGAGGAGGAGGGAGCTGGGTCTTAAACCCCACCTCAGGGTAGAGGTGGAATGGACAGGAGTCAGCAGGTCCCTTCATACCTTTGACTCAGCCTCATTCCCAGGCCAGCTGGGATCTCAAATAACTGGATATGATGGGGCTGAGGCCTGGGATCATCCCCCAACCAGAATCCAAAGAGTCAGTTGGAGAAGAGAAGGGGAAAGATCGAGCTTCACCGTCCTCTCTGTCCCTCAGTCTCCTTTCTCTATCCCTTTTTGTGTCTTTCCTCTAACTCTGCTATCTCTCTAGCCCCAGGCCCCTTTCAACAGTTTCTCCCTGCCTTTCTCTGCCATTTCCCCCATTTCTGTGACACTTTTTTTCCTGGGCCTAGTCCAATTATCAGTCTTAGAGTTCTACTGACTTCCTTCCCAGTTCCCCACCCTGTTGCTCTTGGAGTCTGGGCAACTCCCAGCCTGTGAGCACCTGGCCTGGTCACTGGCACTCCCTACCTTCACATGTGTTTACACTTCCTTTGCCAGCTGGCCTGCACCAGGAACCCACATTTGGGGCTATCCTTGCCTTGGGAGGGCTCTGAGGCTGGGACCATTATGGCCAAAGAGGGACCTCCAGTAGCAGTTGCTTTGAACCCACAGCATGTCTGTGGACTCACATGGCGCCTTTTCTTTGTGCTACTCCTGGGGTCTGGGCCCTGTTACCCATTCCCACCTGGACCCCAGGTACCTTCCTTTGGGGAGGTGGGTGAGCTGCTCCTTGCCAGGGATTTGTGACACTAAATTGTAGGGCTATATTCACCAAGATCTTCTGAATGTTGCAGTGGGGACACCAGGCTATGTGCCATTGTGTTTGGGTCCTAGGATATTAAGAGTTGAAATAAAGGTGTACTCTCTTTCATGGTGTGTGGTGCTTTTGGCCTCAAGGGTGATCTGATCAGAACACCCCCACTTCTGGACTGCTTAAACCCTGGCATTGTTACTTGAGTCCTAGACCAGAGGCCAATTCTGAGGATCTCAACAAATCATATCTGTCCTTTAGCCCCAAAAAACCAAATGGAAAAAAGTAATGGTGAAAAGCAGGAAAGGAACTTTAATCCCTGTATCTGTCCTGGGAAGGCAAAGGGGACCCGTGTTTCCAGCTGTGGCCTCAGGGGTACTGACATGAGCTTCCAGATTATATAGACAAGGGGACCAGAAATACACATGGCCAGGCAGTCTTGGTCACACTGTGGTCTGATTGATTATTATCTCAAGATCAGTCAGGTGGACAAAAATAAAGTTGTTGGCTATAAGAAAATTGCTGTGGCCTGTGGGGTGATTTAGACTTATTGCAAGGTGTTTATTGATCAGAACTGTTCCTACAGTCCAAGATAACTCAGAGCAAAGAAACGGATACAAAATGGAAGCAAAGATGCCAAATTTTTCATCCTGCTTTTAGTTATTCATTGGATACTTTTTCAGGTGCAAATGAAGAATCAGTGTTTTTAGCAAAAGCAGCCTCTAAATCCTTGTCACAGCATTGCCAGGGAAGGTTTCAGAATGGGCAAACCCTAGAGATGACTGTGCAGGGGAGGGTAAGCAGGGACTCGCAGCCCCAGGCTGTTAGAGGAGTCTCTGAGCTCCTCTTCTCAAGAGGTCTGCTCTGAAGGCAGCAGGCAGGGAAGCCTCAGGACTCTCGGGCTCTGGAAAAGACCAAGGTCTCAGGCTCTGAAAGTAGATGACATGGTTTCATCCTTTGACCTTAGGCATAAGATAGGAAGGAAGAAAGAAAAAGGCAGAGCTTGTCTATGACCATGATCCATGACCTATGGAAGCCAGAGTTGAGATTGAAAGAGCAGGGCCCCCAAATGGAGAAGGTGATGTCTACTGATCTCTGATAGGACCTCACCAACAATCACCCACCACCTCCAGCCCTTCAGAGACAGCTTCTGGTGATTAGAACAGAATAGACCACCCAAAGCCACCCATGAGTGACTAGCCCATAAAATTTCTTGGAGATCCCTGTTTCTATTCCAGGCCTCAAACTTTCAATTGTCCTACTTCAGTCTCCTGAGTGGGATTATATGCATGTGCCTCTGTGCCTGGCTCTAGGCCTGATATTCCTGACATGATGACTTATGATGAATATCCATCCTGCTGGATGGTGAGAAACTGTCTTTTCCCCTTGCTCAAGACCTGTGGAACTGGGTAGTACTGATTCCTGACTTTCTCTCTCTCAGCCCAACCAAATTATTCCATTCCTTTGGACATGGAAATTGCATCAAGGACCAGCAGGTAACCTGGGCTGCAAATGAAGTTCAGTGGTAAGATGTTGCTGGAAGTCATGGGAAGCAGTTGTCTCTTTTCTCTGGGGTTGCTGAGGGCATGGGACCTTGATGGATCTTGCTGTCACAAAGGCAGAGATCAGAATGGGCAGAGGGAGAAAGATTAAATCCTGACTGCCACTGTTTGAGCTTCCATACCTGACTGGCCTGAAGCCAGATCCAGCTGGGAAGTTAATGAGGGCTTTCTTTTCTTTGTAGCCTGAGGTGTCCTGATACTCCCTAAAAGTGTTAGACCAGGACGAAAAAAAAGACCACTGACTCCAATTAAAATCAAATTAAAGCAAGCTTATTATTTCGACCAGCTGGGCTGCCTCTCCCTCCCAAAACGGCGGGAACAAGACAGCCCCCCAGCTTTCCTGCAGCCCAGCTTTATAGCCCAGAAAGTTACACAAAGGGGCGGTTACAGATAACAGAACTCTGACAAGCATCACACTAATGGTAGTTTACATTTTTTTGCTGGTCCCAACATAAGAATTTATGAGGACCATTAGAGCCTCAGAGAGGGTCGTTGTCTGGCCAGGGAAGGCCAAGATTTGTGAGGTGTCACTAAGGTTTCAGAGAGGGCTGCTATCTGGTCAGAGAGCCAGGCATGGGTGAGTTCAAGGCACGGGCAGGCATTCCAAGCAGGTTCAGAATTTGCAGTAATTTATAGTAAAGCCGAAATTATCTTTTCATGGCTTTGTGGCGAGATGCCCAATTTTAAGAAAAGATCAGGTTGGGTCTATCAAAAGGATTGAGGAAAGCATTGGGGGTTTAATGAGAAAGAAGAGAACCACGGTTGGGGAGGAGAGAGGGGTTGAAAGGTGAATGACCAACAGAAGATGGTCATCAAGTACTGACTCTATCCAGAGTGGGCCAGATCCCTTGCCCTATAGCACGACTGTTCCATTTCTAGGAAACCTGAGCATGGGAAGGTCAGGAGCTGAGGTAGGTCAGGAGCTGGAGTGAGAAAATCAGCACAGCATATAATCCTTGTCAGGACACTTGTCCTGGATCATCATTTATAAGTCAGAGGGAATGATGCAACCAAGAGTGGCGCAATCTGCTAAGCTTACAACAGCACTGTGTTGACATTTTTATGAGTGAAATGGTCAGACTTTGACAGAGGATTTGGGGTGGAGATCGATGTCTCTCCCTGATCCTAGAACTGGAAAGGGAGTAGAAGAATTGGGTAGAACAGCTGTTATGTCTGCGAAGCCTAGCATCTTGCAGGGCGGGGTGATTTGCGACAAGTTGGAGACTCACCCATCCAAGCTAAGACGGTTTTGTCCATTTTACTGGGGACATTCCACCTCACCACGCACACCTGAGTCTGAGTGTCTGGCTCTGGACCCAGAGAAGGGTCTTTTACCCAAGCATCTATCTCCTCTGCTCACCAGGAACATTGATCCCATCATTCAAAAGTACAACCCCACCCACCATCTCTGGTTCTCACACAAACCATTTTGCACAGAAATGAGGTTTCCAGCAGAGAACTGACTTGTCAAAGGATACTCGTCTGGCAAATGTTGGGATGAGGAAGCAAATTCTGGGCACATTCTGACTCTGGGTCTCAGGTGGCTCTCTCCAGGATGTGCTGGAAATGTGTCCCTTTCAAGCAGTTTTCTTGCTTCGTGGCACCTGGATTCTTTTTTTTGCAAAGAGTACAATTGAAACTCCACGTTAATATCCATGCAATCAGGTTATTGGAGGGTTTGACTTGGTGGAATGTGAACAGCATTTCTCCAAACACTGTTTCCAGAAATCCAATCCATTTGTGAGTTTCAATCCCTCACATGCTTGAAGTGCCTGTTTCTCACTTCAC